GTGTGTGACGATGAGCTCAGGCACGGTGGGTGTGAGCACACAACCTCGCTTGATTCTGCGGCAGCTGTAGTCATAACGATATACAAATAGTTTGCCTGTATTGCAAATGTGCACGTGTGGGCCGCAGGCTGATTCATTCCTCACGAGCACTCTAGGAGGCAGGTTCTCTTATCGTGCCTATTTCTGAGACAGGTTCGGTCGCTCCCCTGGCGGTAAGCAGTGTAGCAATGCCACGTAGTGAACAGGTGGTTTTTCTGTTAATGACCTTGTACGTTTGAAAAGGCAGTATACAGTCTCCATCTGCGATCCACTATCAACGGATTCGTACATGCCTTCTTACGCAGGGGTACTACGGATGAGTCCCTGTGTCAGTGTCTACAGATGCATATAAACTCGGAGGCCTGGGGTGGCCTCAGGCAGGTCACAGCCTGGAAGGGAGACAGGTGGGGAAAATATTGCCCAACAGGGAGGGAAGTGCTGGCTCCACCCACCAGCCCCAGACAAAGCAGCACGAGGCCAACCACGCCTCCAGGAGAAGTCTGGAAGCCCTCACTGCAAGGGGTGACCCTTGAATAGAATCTTCAACCAGAAGAATGAGGAGAAGGGGCGTCTCAAGCAGAGAAATGGGCTTGTGCAAAGAGTCAGAGCCTTTTAACAGCACAGAGAGCCACCAAGAGGTCAGGGAACAGCGTGGAGCAGAGCTCCGAGGACAAACGGCCCAGACCAGGGGCCCTTGCATGCTTGCGAAGGAGCCTGGACCCCATCCTGTGACCCACAGGCATCCATTAAACAGTTATAAGCAGGGTGAATCCAACACCCACCAACCCCCCCGGGAGTTCTGGTAAACCCTAGGAGTCACTCTCCATTACACCCAATGCTCGGCAAGTCTGTGACTCTACCCTGGAAACATTTCCTGAATCAAACGAGGGGACTACTAGCATAATTGCATGCACCTGGGCAGATCCCGGGGTGAGCTGAGAATGCAGGAAGCACGGGAAGGAGTGGGGAGCTCTGATCTTTCACCCACAGAACAGGAGAGGAAGCAGGGTCTGTGGGCACAGGCACAGGAAGAGGGGAGTCCTCCTCTGTCTGCTTTCTCGGTAGCAAGAAAGCAGGAGAGCAAGGTCACCAGAAGAGCAGACATACAGCTCTCTTTAACTTTTCTTAAGCAGTCACAGCATCAAAACCAAACTCCATCTTGGAAGGGAATCTTGGGGACAATAGTAGCATATTCTGTTAGAAATGCTACATCACCAACCCTTGGTCCTCAGAATAAAAGATTACATGAAAAAAAACATAGTCAATGGAAATCGATGACCGAGAGGAAATGGTCTTAAGAACAGCATGGAAGGGAAGGGAAGTTTTAGGAACACAGTCAGTTTATGTCCCCTATGTTTTCTTATATGAATACATACATATTTTCCCACACATACATGTAGACATGAAAAACTCTGTCTCAACCTAAAAGAACTCTTTTAATAGGTATAAAATATGCATTCTATGTGACAAGAAAATAATGCTTTCTCGATCCCTCTTCCCTCACTAGCCATGGCCCCATTTTTCTGCTCTATTTACAGCCAAATTACTTCCAGGGAGAAGCCTATGCTTGCTGTCTCCATCCTCTCCTCCTGGGCTCTCTTCTCCAATTGGGTGTCTGACCAGCACTCACCAATCTGTGTCTATCAAGGTCACCAAAGAACTTTATTTTGCTTAATCCAATACTCCATCCTCCATTCATTTTACTCACTCCATTGGCAGCATTTGACATGTCTGATCAGTCCTTCTACAAACACTTCCCTCACTTGGATTCCTGGAACCACATTTTACCGGTTTCCTTCCTACCTCCTCCCTCTCCGTCGCCACCCCTTTCCAAGGTTCTTGTCTCTCTAACCTTGACATATGGGCATGTCCCATAGCGCAAGCCAAACATCAATAAACTAAAATTCCAGCCCTGGCTGGTTTGGCTCAGTAGATAGAGCATCAGCCCGCAGACTGAAGGATCCCAGGTTCGATTCTGGTCAAGAGCAGATGCCTTGGTTACAGGTTCAGTCCCTGGTGGAGGACATGCAGGAGGCAACCAATCAATGATTCTCTCTCATCTGATGTTTCTATCTCTCTCTCCCTCTCCCTTCCTCTCTGAAATCAATAAAAAATCTATTAAAATAATAAATTAAAAATCAACTAAAATTGCATTTGTCAACATTTGCTCATTGCAGCCTCAAATACCACAAACCTAGAAAGTGAGAGCTTCCAGGTAGTTCCTGGCTTAGAAGATCGTGGGCGCTCTATCCATTTGAAATTGATACCTTCAGCAGAGCCTCAATCAGGTGGACAGATGGCTCTTAGGGTTCTAGTATTGACATCTCTAAATTCAGAAGGGTAAGGGAAGTCTGCTGGGGCTCATGTCAGGGTTTCTAGGTTATTCACTATGGAGTATGAATAGAGCCGATAGAGTAGGGGTGTCGAACTCAATCAGAGAAGGGGCCAAAATCTAAAATCCAGCCTAAATCGCGGGCCGAATGGTTTACTGAACAGTCATAAACTGTCATTGTGATGGAAACGCAGCGGAGTGCAGTGATGACAGCGCGGTGCGGGCCACATTGCAAGGCCTGGCGGGACGGATTTGGCCCGCGGGCCTTGTGTTTGACACATGTGCGATAGAGTAAGAACCTTATGACAGAATCATCTAGAACCTTTATCAAGAAAGATATATGTGAGTAGCTAAAGGCAGATATTTGGAGATGTCATCCCTCGAAAAAACCTGTAAGCCTTGCAAGTGTGGTAAGATTTATGTTATAATCTATGACACTAGCAGGGGGAGATATTTCTAATAATTTTGCTAATAGTGACTATCTATTAAGTTACCCAGTATATGCTGGACACCTGCAGGTATTAGTTATATGTCAGCTTGCTCAATGAAGTCTCATTGGAGGATTTAATAACAACCTGAATAATCCAACTCGCCTGTCCAGCTGTTTAGAAACCGTCTCTCTGAAATGAGGCCAAGAACCGAGAGGAAAACTGAGCCTCACATTCAGGGGCCAGCCCCTTCCAGGGTTCACTTTTGGGAGAAGCCCTTGCCCAGAAGACATGAGAGAGGAAACTGCACTGAAGCTGGAACCAGGAAGTTCAGGGTCAGACGGAAGAACCAAAAAGCACAACAGCCTAGGGAGGGCCGTGGGCTGTTTAGCTCATTACAGCCTGGTGGCTTATCTGATTGCACAGCAATGATTCCTTCAGGGCTTGGATCAGCTGTGCTCACTGTGATACATCCCCCCCCCCCCCCACACACACACACACACACACACACTTCCCCGTAGGGAACAGATTTTGTAGAACATCCTAAGGGCTCAATTTTCATTACTGCTGCTTCTAATGACTGTCATTAGTCCTCAAAAGGATTCAATTATATCTAATATGTGCTACAAAGAGAACAGCAAAAACACATTTGGAAGGATTTCCTATGGTTGTTGACATTGGAACACGGGATAGAAAGTTAAAGAGAGAGAGGGAGATCCGCAGCTGTCCAGAAAACCTGATTATAGAGAACAGCTTAGAGAACAGCCCCCGGGGAGTTGGGGGGGGGGGGGCGCGCCCAGGACACCGGAGTTTCAGGAAATGCACTCAGCGCTGCTCTTCCTGCTGGTGGGCCGTAGCATCCTGACCTGCTCTGCCTCGGAGGCCGGAGGCCAGGGGAGCGTGGGCACCGGTGGCTCCCAGGGTAACGGAGATGTCTGCTGAGCCCGTGGACAGCACAGCCAGAACCGGGGCGGCTCAAAAGGGGGTCCAGGCCTCGGCAATCACCACCCAGGACTGGGGAGAGTGGGGAACAACTGGCCTGGCTTCTGAGAGCACATGGCTCTCCCTACCTCCAGCCTGTCCTTGCCTGGGGAGTGCTGGCCAGCAGGCTGAAGGCACACAGGCGAGGGAGCCGGATTCGGGTGCTGGGGGGCCCTGATAAGACACCGCCGTCCGGAAGAAGGGATGACTACATAACTAGGAAAGTGTATAAAGTCAATGTGTGGTGAAAGGCACGGCCCTGGTTGCTAGGCAGCCAAGGTTCCCTATCATTCAGGATGTGTCATGGAGGCCCCTTTCCCCTCCCTTTTAAGTTGAAAGTGGGGTGGTTTTTTGCACTGTGAGAGAGGACAGGGGTGTGCTGAGTCGGGCTCACCAACTTTCTGTGCAGCCACTTTCTGCCAGGACCCAGCAGCACTGTTCCTTCTGAGCTGACTCTGCGGTGCACCCTCACACACACGCACCCTCAGAGGCGCCTGCAGCCGCGGAGCCCAGCCTGCGCCGCCGCAGCCGCAGCCGCAGCAGAGCGAGCGGCCCTGCGCGCCCTGAGCGAGGGAAAGCGGAATCTCGAGCGAAACTTCTCGCTTCCTGTCGCTGCGGCCGAGAGAGCCCGGCCCCGTTCCCTCTCACACATGGCTCCGCCAGGACTGTAAACAGAGCCGCCCGCTCGCCCGCCGGCCCCAGGCGCTCAGGGGGGTCCCGGGGCGCCTCCCCGCGGCGCCCCCTTCGCCTCCCTCTGCGCGGGGTCATCCCGGCGCAGATAACGGTCCCGGAACGCCCTCCACGTCCTCGGGTCCTCCCTGAAGTCATGGTTCCTCTTTCAAGACAACATGGGGACGAGACGCGAGCCAAAGGCAGACTCAGCCCATCATCCCGGTGTAACCCACCCCTTCGCTATTGTAACGGGGCTGACTCCGAATCCTTTTGTTGCACACGCACACGCACGCACACGCACACACATGCACAAAAGTAGGTGAGGGGCCCCCGGCAGCATTGTTTCCCGCAGCCCAGAAAGCCTCCTGCCACCTCCAGCCAAAGAGCCAACCCTCCCCCAGCCGAGGTCTGCAAGGTGGTCCCCAAGCAGGAGGCTGGGCGGCAGGGCGCGCCTGGCGGGCGCACCGAGAGGTGTGCATCCACACAAAGGCATCCGCCGGGCGGTCACGGGGGCCGGGGCCGGGCTGGGGCGCCGCCGGCCTCCTCACCTGGGACATCTGCGGCCGAAGGTTGATCTCCTTCAGGTCGATGGCGCGGGGCCGGAGGTTGTTGAGCAGCTGGCAGAGGAGGACCCCGTCGCGCAGGGTCTGCGCCAGGTCGAACACCTGCGCCGAGTCCCAGGTGACCCGGTGGTTGGCGGGCAGCACCTTGCAGTGGATGAGCCACTGGGCACACTGCCGCCACGGCTCCATGCCCGACGGCGGCTGGGGGCCGCGGCCCGGCCGGGGCGGGCGGCGAGGACGCGGCGGCCGCCGCTCTGGCTCCCGCGCGCCCCGCCGACGCCCGCAGGGCCGGCCGCTTCCCCGCGATCCGGGCCGGCGCCGCGGGGTGGCCGGGGGTCGGGGCCCCGCGCGGGGCTCGGCTCGCTCCCCGCTCCGCGCCCGCCGCCGCTGCAGCGAGTCCCGCGCTCCCCGGCCGGCTCGGCGGCGGCGGCGGCGGCGCACGGGCTTCCGACTCGCGAGCCGGCGCCGGCCACTGAGCATGCCCAGCGCGCCGCCCGCCGGAGCCCCGGGGGCGCGGGGGGAGCCCGCCCGGCCCGGGGGCGCGGCCGCGCGGGGGCGGCCCGGGGCGGCCCGGGCCTCCGCCACCCCCTCCCCCCACCGCGGCCCCGGGCGCCGGGGGAGGGTCTAGGGGCGGCTTCCCGGCGCGATGGGCTTCCTGCTGGGAACCCCCAAGGCGGCTGCGGTTCTGTAAAGGCAGAGGAGGAATGGGGCGCCCGGACCCGAGACATGCAAACGGGGCGCGGAGCACCCGGAGGACGCAGCGCTGGAAGTTGGAGAGATGGGCGGCCCCCCCCGCCCCCCCCTCTGTCCCTGAACGCCGCTCCCGCCCGGGAATCGCTCTGCCTCGGAGTTGCGAGCGCGCGAGGATGTTTTTGGCACAGTGAACGCGCATGTGAGTGTGTGTGTGTGTGTGTGTGTGTGTGTGTGTGTGAGTGTGTGTGTGAGTGTGTGTGTGAATGTGTGTGTGAATGTGTGTGTATGTATGTGTGTGAGTGTGTGTGAGTGTATGTATGTGTGTGTGTGAGTGTGTGTGTGTGAGAAAGAGTGTGTGTGTGTGTGAGTGTGTGTGTATGTATGTGTATATGAGTGTGGGTGGGTGTGGGTGTGTATCTGAGTGTGTGTGTGTGAGTGTGTGTGTCACACACGCCCGCAAAGACCCGCCCCCGGCCCCAGGGCCTGTTGGGCTGGAGGTGAAGGTCACAGAGACGCTTTCTATTTCCCAGCTCAGGTGCAGAGCTGTCGCGGTCCTGGCCCCGGCCAACCGCACACAACCTGCCCGGGAGAAACAGGCCTGGGAACGCCCCCCGAGCCCGGCGGCCACTGCGCATGCACCGGTGACAGGGCCCGGGTTCGAGAGCAATTAGCACCGGCGCCCAGCCCCGGGGTCCGCCCAGCCGCGGGGCGCCCGGGGAAAGTTGGAACAAGCCTCCAGAAGCTGCACACCGGCATTTCTGAAGTCTTGGGGGGGGGGGGGGGGGGGGGGTAGGCTTCATGCTGCCCCTTTTGCTCCTGTTGCTGCCCCTCAAAACCAAAACTAGTGGTTACATTATTTATGGCAAGAAGTCGCCACGTTGAACTCCTGCCTTTCTGGCTGCACGTGGTCCTCCGCCTTCTACATTGAAAGGTGAGGGTTTTTTAAAAGGTGAAAATAAAAGTAACATAGGAAACCCTGCTAGTTGGGTTTTCAGATCATGTTTTAGGATTACATTTCTGCAGCCCCCATTTTTTTTTTTATGATAAAACGTGAATTTTATAAGCAGGTCAAAAGTTATTTTTAAAAAGTGTCGCTGGTCTGTGGGCAGGGACTGCCTCCTCCACGGGCCTGTGATGAGGGAGCACGCTGAGACCCCCAGTGTTCAAGGGCCAGTCAGCCCCAGGATGTCCTCCCCGCACCTTTCCCCATCCATTTCCGCTTGCGCTCAGTCCAGACTGAGGTGACAAGGTGTTTTCTAAACTAGAATTCTGGCCAACACATCACCCTAAACTCTACAGCTCATCTTTAGGAACAAAATCCAACACATCGGAACCACCCTGTAACACAAGGTCCTGCAAAAAGAGGAATTAAACTGGGAAAGAAGCATCATAAAACAAAAACAGTTGTCCTGGCCAGTTTGGCTCAGGGGATTGAGTGTTCATCCACGGACTGAAGGGTCCCCGGTTCAGTTCTGGTCAGGGGCATGTACCTCAGTTGCTGGCTGGATCCCCCCATCCAGGTTGGGGTGCGTGCAAGAGGCAACCAATTGCTGTGTTTCTCTCACATCAAGGTTTCTCACTCTCTACCTCTCCCCTACCTTCCCCTCTCTATGAGAGAGAGAGAGAGAGCAAGAAACCTTGTCCACGGGTTGACACTATTCACTGAGCCATACTGGCTAGGGTAATAAAAAAAAATTTTTTTTTTCAAAAGAACTCCAGAATGTTGAAAATCCTGACTCATCTGCATAATTCACAGTGAACCCCCATTCCAGCCCTCCCAGGATCGGCACTGATCTCCCAAGCTCCCCTGCGCCTGCTGAGTGGTTCAGCTTCCTCACAGCACCATGGGTGAGGGAGGGGCTGCCACCGCTGCTGCGAAGACAGGTTATCAATACGAGCCCAGGCTGCTGGCCCCCAGCCTAACGCCAAGCCGGGGAATCGAGTTACTTGAATCAAAATGAAAGATTTCCCTGCTGCTGGCTATCAGGGCCTTTCGTTCTGATCCATCTCTTACGTGCAAAGTGCCTCGGAAGATGTGGCGGCCGGCTGAGATTTCTCTTCACAGCTGCTTGCTGTGATCTGTGTGTGATTGGCGGGTCACCGTGCCCCCTTCCCCTCCACCCCGTCCCGCTCCCGTAAGACCACCAAAGCCGGTGGTCCCGGGCCCCGGGGTGAGGATGACCGGAAAGGCCTTTGCTTCAGGGCCCCCTCCGGTGTGGACATAGTAGGGCAGACACCTGCCTCATCATTGTTTTTCCCATGCTCATCAATCACTCTTCTCACATTCAGAGATGAAAACTTACACTGTCCTTTCATAACGTCTTGAGGACTATCTATGAAGGTGGCAATCGTTTCGTTATAGATTTAAAAGCATTTCTCAACTCGGAAGAGCCAGAGCGAGCATCGGCGAAGAAAAGGATCTATATGTCTTCTAAAAATCTAATGATTTTTGAAGTCAGCGGGAAACTACTCCTTTCCGTGTCTCTGCATTTAAAGACATAGATAATGTTTTGCTGTTTGGGGAAAACTGACCCAAAGGAAATCTGGGTTTAAAGATAGTGTCTTTTTTCAAACACCATATGATTTCACTTAAATGTGGAATCGAAAGAGCAACATAAATGAGCAAACAGAAACAAAGCAGACGCAGACAGAGAGAGAGCAGAGTGGTAGTTGCCAAAAGGGAGAAGGACTGGGGAGCTGGGTGGAAAAGGTGAAGGGATTGAGAAGGACAGATTAGCAGTCACAAAACAGTCCCGGGGGTGTAAAGTACAGCACAGGGAATATAGTCGATAATCTGTAAAATAAAAGCCTAAACGATGGTTAAGAGGGAACAAATGGCACAGTTGATGCTCCCTGACACCAGGGCAGACGCTCAGCGCGGGAGCTGCCCCCTGGTGGCCAGTGCGCTCCCACAGGTGGAGTGGCCGCTCGGCCGAAGCCAGGCTACAGCTGGTAAGTGCAGCGGTGGTGGTGGGATCCTCTCCTGCCTCCGTGGCAGAGCTAAGGAGTGGCGAGCTGAGCAGTAAGGAAGAGCAGGCGGGTGGGAAAGAGCAAGGGATCTCAGATCCCTCGGGGATAGGGCCTAAGCTGGCAGGCAGACATCCCCCGAGGGGTCCCGAACTGAGAGAGGGCTCAGGCTGGACTGAGGGACACCTTCACCCCAGTGCACGAACTTCGTGTACCGGGCCTCTATGTATTGTAATAACTAAGCATGGTGTCAGGTGGGTACTTGAATTATCAGAGGGATCGCTTTATAAATTACTTAACTGTCTAACCATGATGCTGTATACCTGAAACTAACACTGTCAGGTGCCAGTCCGGGGTAGGAGAAGCACCATGGCAGGCGTGGCGGTGAGCGAGGGCAGTCCCGCGGACCAGCTGAGTCACCACTGGCACCAGGTGAGGGAGCAGCGATGAGGTGGGGTCCGCCCACCAGGTGCACTCACCTCTGGAGTCACTCAAGGTGCCCATGGGTGAGGCCGAGAGCCCTGAGCGGCGGCCACGGCAGCCGGGCCAGGTAGATAGACTTGGTGCCCCCCATCCCCACCCCGGCAGTCTTCCCAGATGATGGAAGCCTTCTGAAGCACATCCCACCATCGCTGACCTCCACCGCTAGGCAGAGACCCCAACCTTGGGACACTTGGCTCCTCTACACCTGCACGCTCAGACCTATAAGAGTGTGATCCCAGTGCCCCCCATTCTAGTGTCTATGTCTACGCAGGAGAGGACTCAGGGGTCCCGGACTGAAAGCCAGCCTCCTCCGCCCCAGCGGTGACACCCACAGGAGCACACTGGGATCGATCTCAGACGGGGTCCAGGAGCACAGGGGCACAGATCATGCACTCAGCAGAGAGACCCGACACAAGAAAGAAGAGCCCAGGTGCTCACTGGCACGACCCGGGAGCAGCTCCCAGCCCTTCAGGGTCGCTGTCATGGCCCTGCACGGGTTCTGCGTCAGCGTGCAGCCGTGTGGCCACCCAGCGGCCCTAGAAGACCCTGGGGTGGAGGAGCCGGAGGGGGCTGGCTCTCACGTCAGGAGAGGGGGAGGGGAGCATCTGGCAGCAACACCCCTGGAGGCCCAGGGGCAGCTGATTCACACACATGGCATCTGGATGGAGGTGGGAGGAATGAGAGAGGCCCCGCCTCCCGGAAACGCTCCTGCCACTGCAGCTGCCACCTTTTATCACGCAGCCGCCCCCAGATGTGGCAACCCGAGGCTCTCACGGAACCCCTCCCAGACCGGGAGCACCCGGGCCTCACGGCCTGGCCGGCGCTCCTGGGAGCTGAGTCCTCAAGGGGCAGACAGCACCCTCAGGAAAAATGGGGTGGGAGGGTTAATCATTGTTTTTTGGGGGGTTTTTTTGTAATATATTTATATAACTTCAGAGAGGAAGGCAGAGGGAAAGAGTGAAAGAAACATCAATGATGAGAGAGAATCATGAATTGGCTGCCTCTTGCATGTCCCCCACTGGGGATCCAGCCGGCAGCCCAGGCACATGGATCTGACCGGGACTCACACCGTGGCCTCCTGGTTCATAGGTTGATGCTCAATCACTGAGCCCCGCCCGGCTGGACAATCACTGTGTTTTTTTTAATGCAGGTGGGGAGGGGGAATACGTTTGACATTTAGGCGTTCTGAGTACAGCAGGAGGAGGACATGCCCTGTTCAGAGGAGACCAGGAGCCATGCTCACAGAGCAAAACCGGAGTCTGCAACAGCGAATAATGCAGGGAGGCATCATCCCTCCCCAACGAGGTCC